AGATAACCAAAACAAGTCACCTTAGAATTCTTTCCTGAAATTACTGTTGGTGACATTTCTAGACTTCTCTATGTTTGAGTATATATTTTGAAAAATGTTATACTGGAGAAATGGGTTTTAACTTTTTTTTGAGACAGGGTCACACTCTGTTGCACAGGCTGGAGTGCAGTGGTGAGATCATGGCTCATGCAAACTCTGCCTCCTGGGTTCAAGTAATTACTGTGCCTCAGCCCCCCTAGTAGCTGGAATTACAGGCCTGTGCCACTACACCGGCTAATTTCTGTGTTTTTACTAGGGCTGTGATCCCTGTGTGTCTCTGGGCCATCAGGCTCTTCCCCTCTCTAAACCTCGGTGTTCCCCTTCTAGAGAATGGGCAGAATTTTCTTCAGACAATACTTGCTCATGTGTTGGGGCCACAGAGAGGAATGGGGCATAGAGTTTCAGCAAGGAGCTGGACATAGGCGAGAAGCAGTCAAGATCAGAGGGATGAGAGGGTCCCGTCACGTCCCTGATTGCCCAGGACCTCACTGAGTCCTCACATGCATGACAAGATCTGTCCCACGAAGTCAGAGGCAAAACCCCTCAGCTCTGCCCCAGTGCAGGGGCTGCAAGAAACCCATATCTCCTCTTGGGGCCCCCTGATAGGATGACTTCTGCAAGCTCATGCCATCCTAACCGGGAGAGCTGTTCCACACCCAAGTTGGGAGAGCGCTGGGTGAAATCAGTCCCCTCCAGGTATGCACAGCCCAGAGCTGCTCTCCTAGGACCCCTCAGCCACAGAAGGCACTGGTCCTCCTACAGTGCTGCCCCACCCCCACCACCGCAGCCTCCTGGGAGTGTGGTCAGGGTGCCCTCCTTCGGGCTCTGCCCTCGCACCCACTCCTACACAGCTACTCTCCCTGCCGGCTGCCCCAGAGACCAGATTGGTTTGGGCCTCTGCCTCCACAGGCCCAAACTACCATCTCTTCTGCTCCCCAGAAAGCCAGTTCCCAGCAGACAGGCAGTGTTCCCTCTTCATTCCTCAACACAGAGGGCCCATCACAACCCCCTCAGCAGACGGTAGAGCTACCCACGCATCCTCTTAAAGAGGCTTCACCATTGATGGCCACAAGCCCCACCATGACCTCCTCCCAGGGAGTGAATTTTCTTACATGTCTCCCACCAGAGCAGCGACAAAATAAAACATAAAAGCAGCATCTGTTACATTGTCAGCAACATTTCCTACTAGGATCAACTCTCGGAGTGAGCAACATTATTCCATTAGATGGATCAGTGCAGGGGGTAGCAAGCGTTTTCTGTAAAGGGCCAGATGGAAACTCTTTAAGGCTCCGCAGGCCACTGTGTCTCCGTCACCACATACTCAAACCCTCTCCTGTAGCAAGAAAGCAGCCCTAGACAACATGTCAACAAATGAGCATGGCCACATTCCCAGAAACCTTTCTTTATGGACGTGGAAGTTTGCATGTCATGTACTTCTCATGTGTCACAAGATACGATTCTACTTTCCATGTTTTCAACCATTTAAACATGTAAAAGCCATTCTTAGCTCATGGGTCACACAAAAACAGGCAGCAAGAAATCTCGTTTTTAGACCAGCAGCAGCTGACCCCCCGATGGAGCATTAGAGCTTGGGTGCGCGTCCCACCCCAGGGCTTCCAGGAGAGGGAGAGCAGGCTGATGCCACCTCCACCCCATCTCTCTAGGGGAGAAGGCAGAGCTGGTGCTCTATGAAGTTTGGCTGCAGATCCTGGGCCAGCACTACACCAAGGCCTTGGAGGACAAAACCAGCCCTGACCTCTGGGCACTTCAGGGGCAGCTGACGAGATGGGTGAAGTGGCGGAATGAAGTAGGGGGGTCGGGGAAGAGGCCTCGGGAAGATGGGGGATGACTGGACAAGACTTTGTTAGAGCTGTGACCCTCTTCATCCTCTCCTGATCCCCCAGCTGACCCTTGTCCTCAGACCTCTACAAAATTTTGACCAAGAGGTGGTGGAGGAATTCTGGTGGGTCCAGGGTGGCCTGGGTGGCCCAGGGCTCAGACCTGCGTTCTGGGGTTGAGGGCAGGAGGCTGGAAGAGGTGACCTCCCTTAGGCCCCTCAGGCTGCCAGCCCCCTGAAGTGGGATGATCCTCCCACCAGGCTGGATCCACTGACCACGAGAGTGGGTGCCACCTTCTTCAGGGCGGTGCCAGGCCAGGCTTTCATGTGGGACTGTGTGCGCCAGGGTCTGCACATCCTGGGGGAGGCAGAGGGCCACTTGGTATAGATGGTCATCCCAGACCTCAGTCAGTACCTCCTTCCCTCTGTAGGCCCCCTCCATCTGTCCACGTGCCTCCTCCCTTGGGCTCACTGCCTCTGCATGCCCTGATCTGAAACCTGCCTCCCCTCCTCACGGAGCCCGCCCAGATGCTTCTAGCCCCAGCTCTCTGGTCCCACAGCAACTTCTGGGCCCAGATTCTGCCTTCTCAGAAGTCTGGGAGGCAGAGCCCTGCCTGGCCATAGCCTTCTTGGTCTGCTCTAGGCACTCCTAGCCCCGAACCTGGTATTTTAAAAAGTGATTTCTGGATATTTAGAAAGTCATCCGGTATGAGGAGCTGGGAGGGTCCCAGGGTAGAGCCCACAAGAGGAGGAAGATTGAAAAGGGGTCAGAGTGGGAATGGGGGCTGCTGAGGGAAAGGCCCACCCCCAACCCTGATCCCCAAACCCAGCCACAATGCCAGTCAGCCTCAGGCCAGAGGGTGTGAGCAATGGGGGCCCTGGCTGCTCTACAGTGGATCAGAGCCACTGGGCGTGGGGGGGGGGGTCTTCCAGGGGAGGTTTGGGGATGCCCGGGCAAGGTAAGGCAGGCTCCCAGGGCAGAGACTGAGGCTGACCCCTCCAGCCCCCGTGCTGCAGCGGGGGAACACCGGGATAGGCAAGAGTCTTAACCTAGAAAGCCCCAGCAGCTCCTGTGCCCATCAGGACACTGTTGAGGCTTGGTGGTGGTGGAACCCAGGAATGGTCTTTGAACCCACAATCTGGAAGGGGAAGCCAAGGACAGTCCTCGCCCTTAGGCTCCCCTACCTGCAGGCAGTGGGCAGGCCCAGTGAGGGGACCCCAGGAGCGCAGACCATGAACTTACCTGGCCAAAGACAGCAGCCAGCACCAAGACATCAAAGAGGGCGGGTAGAAAGGTCATCACATCGGGGTTGACTGCGGCCGGCACCAGGTTCCTCTGTACTTCTGGAACACACAGGCCTCTCCTTCCTATCCCTGAAGTGCCTCTGCCCCCACCCCAGCACCCCGAAGACCAGCTTAATAGATGCACTTGTCCTGGGTCAGCCCCGCTGTCCAAGCAACTGCAGTTTCTGACTAGAGAGCCAGGGCGGGGCAGGGTGTAGGAGGGGTCCCTGGAAGATGCCCCCCAGGATGCCCTGATGCCTAAAACGTTCCCCATTGGGCCTTCTCAGGGAGGGAGGGTTATGGCAGCCTGTTCTCTCCAGCCACCTTCTTCACCACAGGAGCTCTTACAGACGTCACAGGAGAGAACTGGATCACTGGAGCCAGGACCAGCATGGATGCAGCCCTGGGGCTGAGGCTAAGTGGACTCTGGGAGACCGTCACTCTGTCTTCAAGCTTTGGTCTCCTGGCCCTCTACAAGCCAGGCTGTTTCAGGCTTTGCATGAGGCCTTGCACAGAGACAGAGTTCAAACACAGCTGGTGAACAGAACGGGCTTTAGGGAGGGGGCACATACCTAGTGGTGGGGGCTGGGTACCAGTTAAGGGAGGCCCTGGGGCTAGCGTGGTCTGTCTGGAGGTGGCACAATGGGACATGCACCATGTGAGGAGAGAGGGTCCACCTGGAAGTGTGGACCAGCCAGATGGCCACCAAGCTGGATGGCCACCACCAGAGCCTGCATGACACTAGAGGGGGCTGGGAAGGGATAGAGGACAACTCAAGGGCAGGGAACCTGGTTTCCTTCATACAGACACGTGAGTCTTCCCGAAGTGGGTCTTCCTCAAGTGGGTGAGGAAGTATTCAAGACACACCTCCAGTCCACCTCAAACCATCTCAGGAGGCCACCACCAATTCACACAGGCCAGCTGCATTGTCACAGTGACCCCAGAAGAGCACAGTCCTGTCCTTCAGATGAATAAACAGAGGGAGAGACACATCTCACAGCCAGGAGCTGGGACTCAGACCAGGTCCAGCTGCAGTGCTGCCTCGATGGCTCTGCCTGCACCTTCTCTGGGACTCAGTTACCGTTAACAAGTGAGCGCTCGCTATGGGTGAAATAGGTGCTATTATCCCTGTCCAGCTGCTGGGGAAAGGAAAGCAAGGCACAGGTGACTTGCCCAAGGCCAACGTGACAGGGCTGGTTCAACCCCATCTGTCTCAGGCAGCACATCCCCATGGCAGAGGCTTTACTGTGATCCAAACCTGGAAGGTGGAACTCCTTCCAATGTCCCACCCAGGGCACACAGCATGCAGCCCCACGTTTGGGGAGGTGACAGTGTGGGGAGGTGACAGTGTGGGAAACAATCTGGCTAGGCCAAGGCCTCATGGAGCCCAGGGTTTCCTAGGGTCAGGAGAGCTCTGGAGCCCACTCCAACACCTATTGTAAACCTGGAATCTGCACCTGCAGGAGATCAGGAGAGGGGTTCATCCTCCAATGCACCTGCAGCAAGGTGAGACAGGCACAGGTGGGTGCCCTGCTTCCAACCAGCCTCAGGTGGGCAGGAAGCAGATCTCCTGCCTGACCTTCCTCTCCTGCCTCCCCAAGCAGAGGAGAAGGGGCAGCCGCCCATCAGGCCATTGCCCAGATTGAAGCCGCTGAAGCTAGGTCCCAACAGGCGAGTGTGACCCCTGACTATCCCAGGCCCGGCCCAAGGCAGTCCTGTCTCTGGTGAGGGCCTGGTAGACAGGAGATGTGATGTCCCCACATGGCTCTATAAACCTCTGATTGAGGATAATCAAGGAAATGGACAAGAACATCATGCCTAGTCAAGACCCTGGCAGGCACAAGGGGGACCGGGGCAGGCAAAAGTCAGTTTGGGCCCAGGCCTAGCCCCTGGAAGGATGGTGGGTGAGGGACCAGCCACGGTGAAGGGGAATGGATGGCCATGGGCTGGGTGGCCAGGGCTGTCAACTCCTGCAGCCCCTGCAGAACATCTGCCCAGGCCTGGCTCTGCAGTCAGCCTTCTGCCTGGAGCCACAGGTGCCTGGACACTGGCCTGCAGTAGGGATGGTGGTAGGAAAGGCACTTGTGGCCACATGTGGGTGCCTAAGCATGGGACAGAGGAGTATCTTGCCCCCAAAGAAACCATAGAGGCCTAGAGCTTAAGCAGATGTGACACCATCAATAAACCCCCTTGTCCTGGGTCACATCAATTAAGTCAGCACCTACCCTGACCCTGAAGCTGCAGCTCAGTCTGGTTGAGACTCACAGAGAGATGTTAGTGCTGGGCAGGGGGCCTGGCCCAGCCTGCGATGTCCAGCAAAGCTGTGGGCTGGACAAGAATCTCTGAAGATTAGTCCAGGAAAAGGACAGCTGTGTCTGGGCAGGGAGTGGGGGCAATGCCCAAGGTGCAGGAGGCCTGAGGACATTTAACTAAGTAGGGTGCCAAGTCAGGATGTGCAGAAGAGAAGGTGGCATAGCAGCATCCTGCCCAAGGCCAGACAATAAACCTAGGGGCCACCTTGTC